CATGGGGCGGTGGGGTCGTACAACTGCTATTCTTAGGACTACTGTTTTAGGACTACTACCACCACCACCACCACCACCACCACCACCACCACCACCACCACCACCACCACCACCACCACCACCACCACCACCACCACCACCACCACTACTACTACTACTACTACTACTACTACTGCTACTACTGCTACTACTGCTACTACTGCTACTCTACTTCTACTTCTTCTACTTGTTCTTCTACTACTACTACTACTGCTACTACTACTACTACTACTGCTACTACTACTACTACTGCTACTGCTACTACTACTACTACTACTACTACTACTACTACTACTACTACTACTACTACTACTACTACTACTACTACTACTACTACTACTACTACTACTACTACTACTACTACTACTACTACTACTACTACTACTACTACTACTACTACTACTACTACAACACTACATACACCACCTACGACTAATGCTACTACCTACGACTCAAGCTATTATTACTGCTACGAATGCAATTGCTACGACTGTTGGTACTCAGACTCGCTGCCATCCCTTAACCCGCTACCCACTCCCACTAGCCATGTTCCACCAATCCTCAAAGCCCATATTTCACTCTTCAATACTTGCCATTTACCATCTGGGCGATCCAAAAATGAACTGTAACGCACGAATTTGTTCCGAACGTGCCAAGTCAGGTCAGCCCATAAAGCGAAAAGATTTGGGAGGTCCAGAGGAGAGGAGTATAGTGAGTAGGATGAGATGGTGCCCTGAAGATAAATAGGAGAAAACGGCAGATCGACAACGACTCGCTAGGATTCTGGCTGTGCTACCAACAGCATGGTATCCACTATCGTATAAGCCTCCCAAGCAACAAGAAGTAATGCACAATGCGTGGTGACCGCGAACGTGTACATGCAGACAGAAGAGATTCGGGCATCTCTGAGTTGCGTGCCTGGGCACGCGGCCTGAACTAGGTCAGCTTCGGAACCTTACGACTTCAGCACACCTAGCCCACCGAACAATTACTGCCGGATTTTGCTGCGCTCCACCGATGCCACCTGCGCTTTCCCGCCTAGGAAGCATCGCGCCGCCGCGCGCCACGGCCTCAAGGCCTGCGCGCCGGCTCGCCCAGGGGAACACGCAGCGCCGCCCCCAGCAGGGATGCTACGACAAAGCCTCTACGCAGTCCTTTCCACGTGGGCCCTCTCCAGCTCCTGCGGGGCATGGATCTGAGGGGATCACGCTGGTTCTGCGAATTACGATCTTATCAATGCATGCATGGTGGCCGCAAGCACGGACTCTCTATACAAACAACGTCACCACAATGGTCTGTACTGTCTGGCATATGACGGCCAACGCGAGCGCAAAACTCGGCGCCCCGGCGGAGGTGGCGTCAGGGAATGCTTTCGCACAGCCAGTCTCCAGTGCGTAGGAGTTTGCACACTAACCTGTAATCGATGACAATCGCACATGCGCGTCATCCAGATACAAGCCGCGCGCTGACCAGAAAACTGCACGCACCTACCCCGCACGCACACGTGAGCATTAAGACCAGAACAACAAACGAACAAACACACACCACCACACCCAAACACATGTGTCCTGGCGACACGGTCGCGTGGCAACACACACGCACACACAAACATACACAACATCGCACACGTAAAAACACTCACAAACACTTGAGCACACGTACACACACGCAACCCAAAACCATGCACAGACCATCGTATCGCAACGCACGCACACGCGCACACTCTTTGGTGTCACGGCCACGCTCGCGACGATGCGGTGGAAACAGACGAAGTAGCACCCAGAAACGACAAACCGAGGATGACTGGATGAAAACCCCAAACAAGAAAGAATGCGGTTTCTCCACAAACGAGAAGCGCAACCCCGCATGCCGGAACGCCAGCGGGGGCACGAGAGCCAATAAAGCGGCCAAGCATACGCGAAGGACCGTTCCCTGGCTTCCTTTTTGGGTTCTCCTCCAATAGCGCCGCGCAGCCCACGTCTCAGGCAGTAATTCCAAAAGGAAAGCAACAACCCACACCCCAAAACCAACACGGAGCGATTGCCCTGCGCCTGATCCATTCTCGCTCCTCATGTAATTTTGGGCCCCCCAGGGCCCCGTAGGAGCGTGTGCTCTTCCGCCTCCTCCTCGTCCTCCCCATCCTCATCCTGCGCCTCGTGCCGCGCCTCATCCTCCTGGTCCTCATCCTCCTGGTCTTCATCCTCCGCCAAATCCTCGTGCTCCTCCTCCTCTTGCCCATCCTGCTCCTCATCCTGCGCCTCGTGCCGCGCCTCATCCTCCTGGTCTTCATCCTCCGCCAAATCCTCGTGCTCCTCCTCGTCCTCCTCCTCACTCTCCTGCTCCGATCCGCGCATCCGCGCGGCACATCTCGACCCTGCCGCGAGGACTCCACGGGCGGGAGGAGAGCCGCTCTCCGGCCCCAGGGCGCGCACCTCGTCCCCCCCCTGGGGCTTCTCGATCCAGGGGCCGTGCCGCCTTCCCTTCGCGGGGTCTGCGGGGAGGGGGCGAAGGACCTCACCTGCCAGGGCTCAGACCTGGCTGCGAGGACCCCGGGAAGGGTTGGAAAGCGGGCCCGGGGCTTTGCAACCCACGGGCCGTGCCGCCTTCTCTTTCCGAGGGTCCGCAGGGGAGGGCGTGGAAGGTCCTCCTGGAACCAGCAGGCTGAGGAGCAGACGGAGGAGCCGCCGAGGCCACAGGAGCGGACACATGCACACACACACACACGCACACACACACACGCATGTACACTCACAGACGCACGCCTACACACACACACGGCACACACACACAAACACAATGTTTGGCGGTCGCGGCCTCGCGCGCAGCATCGAGGCGGGACACCACACACACACACCTCTATTCTTGCATGAATAAGAGCACACGCAATTGACAGCACGGGAGACTTCAACTAGGCATAACAAAAACTCAGACGTGGTATGGCGTACAGCGTGTCACGACACACATGCACATTCACACAGGGAGTGCCGCTGATTGAAATCGCATCCAATGCGATTGGAGCTCGCCATTATTGCTATGATCCTACGACGAAGTAGTATGCACTTTGCCAGCGTGCATCAAAACCAGCCTCGGCTTAAACGCCAACAGAACATTTGTGGCCATTGCTGGCTTCAAAGCGGTACGGATACGGATCACGAGGCGATACTGGTTGGAATCAACATACTCCGATGTCGGCGTGTGAATTGAACATCTTCGTCCATGTCTGATTCAACGCGTGTAATACTCAACCTTTCGCTTGCTTCGGAAATCCAAGATGTGAACCCGTAACCGCCGCTGAAAAACCGGCAAATGGCAAACACCGAATCCACGACATTGCCCCCGTGCTGCGTTGCGCAGGCCGAAATGTGCAGGCGCAAATCCTTCACGATTGCGTCAGAACTATACGATGAGGATGTCAGAACCAACCAACCGGGAAACATCCTCCAATGTGAGAACTCACTTCACAACATGGACTCAAAACCTCCGCTCCAGACGGAATTGGACAGCCTGGTGCTGGACAAAAAAGGCAGCGGCACCGAGAGAGGCGGCACCAGATGAGAGGATTGCCATATACGTTATGCGCGTCGAAACTATGGGTGGCAATGCATGACTAGAAGAATTAGCAGCTGCATAATCATCAACTCTCGGACATCTGACCGTTTGTACTTATGTTGTGTTTGCTTCCATCGACTGAACTCTACGTGTGCCGAGTTTCGGACATTACGTCATGACATGTTGCATATTTTCACGCACTGCTCAATGATGAGTCGCTGCCAGCCGTGGGCTCTCTCTCTTCGGATACTTTCGTCGCCAACCCTGGAGAATTCGCCGCCCTGGCGCTGTTTCTTGGTACCGCGGTCATCCAATATTCTCACTGTTGAAAATCATCATTTAGTCAACCTGTCACTCCCACAATCCATCCTTTTCCGTGCCCACAAACTCATGCATCCGTTCGTGCAACAAGCCATCTCAACATGGTTGTCCTATTGAATCTAGAGAGTGGGTTGGTAAGACGAACGAGCAGGATGATGAGGGCGAGGAAGGAGAAATGGGAGAGGAGGTGGAGGATTCAGAATGATGGTGAGGGCAAGAGGGGAGGGTGACTGCAGAAGAAGCATAGCGCAGATGTGCTGGCGCGGCGTCTTCGACAAACGCCCCTGGCTCCTCCAAGTTTCCCGCCAGCGGCCCGAATAGCAACGCGAAGCGGGCGGCATCTACCTCGGCATCTGGTGTGTGGATGTGTGTGGCTGTGGGGCAAGAGGGAGGGAGAGGGGGGGCCGAAACTGTACCGTGCTAGGTGGAGCTTCGCCCCAAGCCCGCTATCACCGACTGATCCAGAGGCGATGTATGGGCAGATCTGGAACTTCTTGGCGACAATCTGGGTCGCCATCCCTGGCCCCGTCGACGTTGCGACACGAATCTAATGCACAAGTGGCCCTGACGTTCACTCTGGCAGGAACTGGCACGATGCAAGCGCGGCCTGTGGGCCCAACTCCCGACCCGTGACGAGTGGGGCACTCGATTCGGGGTCGACGCTTCCGCCCCTGGGCTTGGCTTTCGGGCCATGACTCGGGCCTTCGGCGGCGTTCGGGACGATTCTGGCCCCCCCCCGAGCGCTCTCGACGAGGCGCAGCTGATGAAGCCTTCGAGACTCCTGAATCCCAATGATAAGAGGAGCTGGGATCGAACAGTCGAGGACGCTGTGATCGCTTCGCTGCCATACGCCAGCTGTTCCAGTGGCAACTCCTCTGACACCTTCAGCTGAGAATTGCGCAGACGCAGAGGATCGATCGGCAATGCCTTTCAAACTGAAGATACAGTCGGGGCCCTGAAGAAGGAACCCTTTTCGTTGGGGAGGGGCTCCCCGTTCCTTCAGTGTTTCACAGCTTGCCTCAGGTTGTCCTTATGTTTTCGGCAGGAAATCGAAGGTTAACTGATTGAAAAAAGGGGCCTCGTTCCTTATTTAGGGTTCCTTAGGTCAACGCCCCGACTGTAAGGCGCCCCCCCCCTGTCGCTGCCCCTGGAATTGGCTATCGCGTTCCCGCCGCCCACCCGCCTCCAGAGCCTGCCGCCCAAACACCGCCGCGAACGCGAAGAGGGCGAAGCCGCGGCGGTGCTCCGCCGGCGTGGCGCCCCGGCCCTCTGGCGCAGAAGGCGGGAGGCGACAAGATGGGGAGAGAGGCTGGGGCTCTGTGGGCCCCGGAAACGGCAGGGCCGTTTTTTTCACCGTTTCCAGAAAAATGCCCCTTGAACATGGAAACGGCGCAAAAACGGCAACCGGAAACGGCAAAAAAACGGCTCCAGGATTGGAACGGGAGCCAGAACCGGTCAAACAACGGCGACGGAACCGGTAAACAAACGGCGTCGGAACCGGCAAAAAAAACGGCAAAACGGAACTGGTAAAAAAACGGCAATGTCGTTTCCAGGGCCCACTAAGGGCTGGGGCACCATCAGATAGGGAAACAAAACATTGTCCTGGACCCGACCATAGGCAACCTGTGGATGGCGCGGGTGTGAGGATCGTGTTCGATTGCGCTTCCTGTGGGGCACGAGCCGTGTGAGGGTCGTGCCGACATCGGCGGGGCGCCGCACGCACAGGGGGAGGGGAGGGAGGCGAGGGCAGCAACAGATTCGAGAACACAATCCAACACTGGAAGACACTTTCGGAGGCTCGCGCGGATTTCTGGGATCGGCGCCGGACCCCCCTCACAGGGGTGGCGCCAGTGGTGCCACTGCGAGGGCCCAGCGCAGATCCAAGAAATCCGCGCGGAGCTCCGAACGTTTATGTTTCTGCCGTTCCTCTTCGTGCGAGCAGAGCAGGGCCCGTTCGCCCCCCCCCTCCCCCCCGCCCCTCCCCACGACCCTGCTATACTGTAGCGTCCAGCGCATGTAGGCGGCTCCAGTGTGGCAGCTGGTCGTGGGGCGGCAGCGCCTATTACTACTACTGCTGATCTCGGGTGCGTCGGCGGCTCACGTCAAGAAGGAACTGTACTTAAGATGCCGTGGCCTCTGTGCCACACAATTCCCCAGTGCGTGATCCGCCACCGTGCCCCTGGCACGTTGAGTGGTATTATGCCACGTCTTGCCTGGCGCCTCCCTCGCGTACTCCACGGCTCTTCAAGGATTGCAAGACAGCCCAGTAAGGCCTTTCATGCAACCAGGATGGCTCAACTTTGCTGCCAAAGGCACCCAACAGCCCCCATGAAAATATCAAAAGACACCAAAAGGCCCCAAATAGTCCCCAAAACACCGACCACATTGCCAATAACCCCCCGAAAGAGACGCGACGCATGCATGTTCGCCACCGTGGACCCAAACCCCTGGGCTCATGTTATTGCACGCTCGATGTGCCGTCTATGTGGTGCAGGGTACATCGTGTACGCTAAGTGGTGAAATCTGTGTGGCGAAAGCTTTGTGTGCAATGTATGTGGCGTAGGCTTTGTGGTTTCACTACGTAAACTATGTGGTGTAAACTCTGTGGTGTACGCTGCGTGGTGCAAGCTGTATGGTGGAAACGATATGTTGTGATCTGTGGTGCGAATTATGTGGTGCAAGCAACCTGTGCAAATTGCAACCGTCAACGCCCATTTCCGCGCCAACATGCGACGATGACGATGATGATTGGGATGATGGTGATAACGATGGTGATGGCGATGAGGATGCGGATGGTGACGGTGATGGAGCTGCCGATGACGATGATGACGATGATGATGCAGGTGGTAATGGCTGGTGATGGTGCTACTAATGATGGCGGTGGCAATGGTGACGCTGTCGATGATGATGATGATGATGATGATGATGATGATGATGATGATGATGATGATGATGGTGATGGTGATGATAGTGATGGTGCCAATGGCGAAGACGGCGAGGATGATGGCGATTATGATGATGATGATGATGATGATGATGATGATGATGATGGTGATGGTGATGGTGATGGTGATGGTGATGGTGATGATGATGATGATGATGATGATGATGATGATGATGATGATGATGATGATGATGACAGTGATTACGCTATCTTTTCCCTGCGCAACACCAAGATTTCCTGCGCAACATCGGGATGAAGGAACAACGGGCCTGCGTCCCAAATTACCTGCCAGCGCCACGCCCCGGAGCGAATGCACTGACGGACGCGCCGGGGGAGTCCGCGGCGGAACGCCGAGCGTGCGACCGTCGGGGAGGCAAAGAGGCGATCGGTCGATCGCAGCCGAGACCGCGCGGCTAAGCCTGCCACCCGAGAGAGAGAGAGAGAGAGAGACACAGCGCGGGCGGAGACGCGGCTTGCACTTGTGCCGGCCTGGCGCGGGAACCGCGGGGAGACAATCATAAAAAAGAGCCAGACGAAGCAGCCGCGCCCTAGTCGCATCAGGCGCCTCGCAGAGGTGAGGGCGTCGCAGCGCCTGGCGGATTCGCTGAGCGGAACCGAACGGGCGGACCGAAAGCGCAGACGGGCGCGAGAGAAGCGAAAGAGGCCAGGGCGGCAAGGCGGACCTGGGCGCCGCCACGCACGGAGAGATGGCGGACACGAATCGCGGAGGCAACGACGGCAGCAGAGGAACCGGCAGCCGCGGCAGCGGCGGCGGCGCGGCGAGGGGGCGGCAACAGAAAAAAAAGAGCGACCAGAGACACGGCTTGCACATGTCCCGACCACAGCACGGGCAGGCAATGCATATAGAGCTAGGAATGCCTGACCGATTGCGCTGCCACTCTGATTATGGGCGTTGCATAAGCAACCGACGGCGGCCCTCAAATATCTGTCCCGGAGAGGCCCCCAGAACTGCGGTGGCGACTCTCAATTGTGAGTGGGTGCGCGCGAAACCCTCCAGCAGCGCGCGGGGCAAGATCCCTGACTTTATCGGGGGCCCGACCATCGGCGTCGCAGAGCGTCGGGAACGGGCTGGCAAAACCGAGCGGATGGAGCGGGGAGGCCCGCATGGAGAAGAGAGCGGTAACTTCCGGGCAGCGAAAAGCAGTGGCACTGGTCGTCTTTGGCTTCAGGCAGCCAAATCGACAGGGCTTCGGGTGCGCGCGGAACCTGGCGGAGGTCCAGCGTCCCCGCCATAGGGTCCTGAGAGCGACAACCACTAGAATCTGAGAGACCGAAGAACAGACTGAACGAAGCCTCGTAGCTGGCACGGGGAACCAGGCATCGGCAGGGAGGGGGGGGGAGCATTTATCTCATAACTCGTCGCTCGATATCGGCGCGACTGTGCGTGGGGCCCATGCCACTTCCCAAAACAATCGTGGGCTTCGCTCGGGGCGCCCGAAACGGGGCCGTAGGGCTAATCAAACGAGCCTTGGGTAGAAGCTGAGAGAAATTATCCGATGTGTAGGACAGGAATGAATCAACATCTCATCCTCTCTGCGGCCTCATGGGGATGGGGTCATCCGGGTCACTCAGAAAGGTCCCAAAATTCTCCTAGAAACGCCTCCAACCTTTCGAATCTCGAGCGGTTCTGCGCGCTGCAGCCTTGGTCAAATGCGGGACCGGAATGCCCTGATCGTTGCGTCCAACAGCCGTCGGCGTCCTCATCGTGGTTCCTGCGAAGCTGAATCTGGGTCCTGCAAGCAAGCTCTGAAAAGGCTCTGTCCTCGAGCTGCAGCAGACGAGCGATTGGGCGATGCCACTGAAGCGCATGGCCCAGCACTGAGATCGCCCGGGCGCTGTGCGCCGCGATGGATTCAGCCAGCCCAGCCCCCGCATGTCTAATTTAGCATGCTCGATGAAAGAACTTGCCAGCCTGGGTGGGGAACGGGCTCAGATGATTTAATCGCCGAGAAGTGCGCAACCATTTCCAGGCGTAATTAGGTGGGACGTGGACCGTTGCACCTGAGTCGAACAGCAGACAACGACAATGCACTTCCCAGGGTGCAGCTCAAGCCCCACAGCCGCCGACAGCTCGCAGGGCTTGCTGCGGAGTCAAGTCGGTGAACAAGGTGGCCGACAAAAACCTGAGGTCGTCGGCGCGCCGTGAAAGCCTGCACCCTCCAGGACTAGCGGCGCGTAGCCATCTGCAGACGAGTCCAGAGACAGCGCGAACAACAACGTGGATGCAGAGCAGCCCTGGGAAGCGCCCCGCTAGGACAACTGAGCGAGAGGCCAGCGCCGATCCACCGAAGTGGGCCATGGCACGTTATCGCCATAGAGGTTAATGAGAACATCAGTGGCCCACTGCCGAATGCCCACCTTGCGCAAAGCGAAGAGACGCCTGGCGATGATCGGACTCGGGGCAGCTGCTCTGAAATCCGTGAAGAACTGAGCTGGCGTGTCGCGCCCTTCGATCGCAGCCAAGACTCCATCGACCTCGCGCTCGATGATGTTGGCCAACATCGATCGCCCAGAGACTTTGCCCGTCTGACTGTCCAAGATAGAGCGTTGACCAAGCAGAGAGAGAGAGAGAGAGAGAGACAGAGAGAGGCGACGAACACGAGCAGCAGTCACCAACTTGCAATCCTTGCAGCCCATTGAGAGAGGACGAGAACAATATGGCTTCCTAGATGGCGTAGCAGATGCATCAATGGGGCGATCCCCCTTTTGGCCGGGAGCACAAGATAATCTTATGAACGTCGGGGGGGCGGGGCGCGAGGGTCATCGGGGTGGGCGATGAAAGGCTGATGATGCATATGCGCTGCCTCCAGACCTCCAGAGCTTCGAGGGTCTTCTAACAACCGTGCGGCAACCCATCGATGCCTGGCATTCAGTAGTCACCCGCTGATTGGACCAGCCGAGCAAATTCTTCGCGATCCAAGAGCCGCGCCATATCCGGGGAAACGTCCGCAGCTTTCTAGATAAATGGTTCCAGGGTGGGCCAAAGCGCGCGATCGGGCTCAACGTCGGCGAGCGCAGACCCCCGGTGCCGAGCCAGCCCCTGCCCGGCGTGCCGCAAGGACGGGATGGCACGCCTGTGCTTTCATGCAGAATGCTGCCGAGCAGAACTGTCTCGTCAGGCGTGCGCCACCCGCTCGCGATCGCGTCGCGCGCGCGCGCCGTCTCTGCGCCTCGCGCCCAGGCAGGTCGGTCGCCCAATCCCGAAACCTCCTCCACCTCAACGCGCGCGGACACCTCATCGTCGTCATCAGCATCATCATTGACATCATCCCCCTTATCTCTTCCTCATCCTCCTCATCCTCCCCCTCCTCCTCTTGCCTTCTCCTCCCTCTCCCATCCTCCCCCCTCCCGAAACCTCCCGAAGAGTTGCTGAAGACAGCGGCGCGGGCAAATGGGCCGCGGGGGCCGCCGGCGGAGCGGCAGCCCGCACACGGACCACGCGGCGCTCGCCCCCCCCCCCGCAGGGCCCCAGAGAGTCACCCAGGGGGCGCGGCCGCCGCGGGGCGCCGTACTCTGATAGTTCTTAGAGTTGGTGATGATTTTCTTTGCGCTGTTCGGCACAGCACTCGGAAGGAAATCAACAGGCGCGCTAGCTCAAAGTGTCCAGACGCCCGAACGGTCTTGTATGTCTATTTTTTTGTTTCCAGAGATGCTTTTCCCTCGTGCCATGCCCAAGCCTGCTCGCGAGAGGCGAGGTGATCGAGGATCGACCGTTCGAGGATCGAAGCTTCTGCTGGTTTCGCCCTCGTCGGGTCGCGCCTCCAGGGGGCTCCGCTCGGGTTGACCCAGAAGGGGGTCCAGCGACAAAAGGGGTGGTGCAATAGATTGGGTGCAATAGATTTGTGGGGTTGCAACGCATTTGGGGCGTGCAACACATGTCGGGGCGCAGACGTATTGCTGTACTTTCGCGTGCAATGCATCACTTGCAATACAATGCAGTACAAGTCTCCGGCGCGAAACATTTGCAGTACAACTATTCCCAAATATTGTCCCTTTCCGCTGGACCCCCTTTTGGGTCACCCCGATCCTCGTCGCCACGGCTGGATCCGCCTTGACCTTCTTACCAGAACGCACCCCGGAACAGGTCCGGGGATTTGTTATTGGCCCCCAGAGCTAGCATACTCGCGTCGTGAAAAACATGCGACGGGAAATGTTCGACCGTTTTCGCTCTCTGGGGGCCCTCGCTAGGCACGGGGACCGTCAAAAGACGACCCAGGAGGCAAAAACGGGCTTTGGCAAGGCAAGGGGCTGGGACTTCCTGGGACCCCGTATCAAACCAATCAAGACATCGTACATCAAACATGGAGGTGCCTCTCGTCGCGAGGGCCGGCGAGGGGGCCGGCAAGGCGCCGCCAGAGGTCCGCCGAAGGGCTGCCGCGGGGCCGCCGAGGGGGCCGCCGAGGGGGCCACCGAAAGGCCGCCCGCCCCTGAGATCCGACGTTGCGACAGAACTGCAGCATGAAGCCCTAGATGTAGGTCGGGCGTGTCCTTCTACAGGCGGATTTTGAACACGAGCAAATGATCAAAACATGCTCAAGAATCGTCAAAACAAATCGTCCCCTGACTACTGTTTGACTATTTTTGGCTATTCCTCCTGTAGAGGGACACGCCCGACTCAACCCTATACCGCGTCCTTCTGCTGCATGTTTCGAGCCGGATTGATCTGTGAGGGCCCCGGGGCCCGGAACAAGACAGCATCGCCAGCTGCGACAAAAGCTGCAACGCCAGGATCTCAAGGGGAAAAAAACACACATACAAAAACACACACACACACACAAAACACACACACAGTGTGTGTGTGTGTGTGTGTGTGTGTGTGAGTGTGTGTGTGTGGGGGGGAAAAAACACACTGTGGGAACAAAAACACACACAATGTGTGTTTTTGCGTTTTTTTCCCACAGTGTGTCTTTTTCCCACCGGCTGCGACAAAAACTGCAACGCCAGGATCTCAAGGGAGGAATCGCCGAGGGGCCGCCGAGGGGGCCAGCGAACGAGCCGCCGAGGGGGCGCCGAGGGGCCACCGAGGGGCCGCTTTTTGGCCAGACATTCTTTCATGTTCAAAATTTCTTCGTCGTTGCGCGGCAGATGCAATCCGCTCGCGCGCTCTGGCAGCTGAGGCGGAGCGTACTGACTGGCTGGCTGCAAGAGAACAGGGCCTCTTTTTCAAACAAACATTCCCAAACATGATCGCGTCGTAGCAAACATCAGGACGCAAATCTTTCGTCGTTTTCGGCCTCTCGAGGCCCTCGACGGGTATACCGGGGCCGTCAAAAAACGATTCAGGATGAAAAGCTGGCCCGGGGGAAAGGGTCGGGGCTTCCGGGGACCTCGCGTTGAAAAAACGAGGACGTCGCACGTCTGGGACTTGCTTCTCCCCCCCCGCCTGCTGCCCAGCGGGCGGCTTGCCAGCCGGACATGGCGTCCTGCGCGCGGCACAGGCTCCGATCTGGGCCCGTGCGCCCCTGGCCCTGAAGGATCGTGCAAGTTCCGGCGCTCTGACTGACCCCCGCTTGCACTGACTCAGTATTAGGTCGGGCATGTCCCCCCACAGGCGGATTTTGGACGACAAATAGAAAACATGCAACGCACTCCCCCAAAATAAGCAAACATTGTCCAAACATCGTCCCCTGACTACTTTTACTATCTTGGAACATCCCCCCTGTAGAGGGACGTGCCCGACTCAAACCCAGGCTCAAGGCTCCCGACGGCTGCCGCTCGGCTCGGCGGCCGGCCAGCCGGCCGGACCGGGGGTCCTGCGCGCGGCGCAGGCTCTCGCACAGGTGGCCGAAGTCCGCCGGGCGCATCGCGCGCTCGCCCGCGGGGCCTCGGGGGCTCTGTGGGGGGCGCGGCGCCAGCAGAGGGGGCAGCTCAGAGGACGGCGAAAGCTCGGGGACCGAGGGGGAGGATGAGTCCTCGGACGTCCATTCCCTGTGCACTTTTCGGCTTCGTGCGTGCATCTTTCGCGCAAGGCGAGCAGCACTGCTCCTCGAGGGTTCTTGCCGCGAAGAGATACACACGTCCAATCGATGCCAAGCGCCCTTTCAGCTGGGACAAGATCGATGATTCTCTTTGGAGGTCGCTGGGGGGGCTTTGGATCCGTCAGTCGCAGTCCCTACGACCCCCACTCGCGAGAAGCTCGGATCTGAGGTTTGCTCTGACCGATGATTGGGCTGCTTGGGCTTGCTCTTACCCTACGAGCATTGCCCCCCTCCTCCGTCGCCCCCAAAACACAGATCGTGCTCGCTGCCGCTCAACGAGCTTCAAGATTCTCTCCTCCACCCTCCCCGAAGGCGTAGCACCCCGCCCGTCGTGGCGAGCTTCTCCCCCGCCAGCGGGGTCCAAGGGCTTCTCCTGCCCCCATCGCGCGTGCGCGGCTGGCGGATGAGCCAGCGTTCCGTTCCCGCCGCCAGGCCCGCGCCGGTCGGACGCCCAGGGAGGGGCCAGCAGAGGAGGGCGACGACAGGAGTTGGCTTTCGGGGGGGGGCCCTTTTGGCGGCGCGCACAAGGGGGTGGAGGGAGGGGGGAGGGCTTCTTAGGAGGAGGCTGCTTCTTAGAAGGCGCTGGCCTTACACCTATAGAAAAGACCCGCACCTTCTAAGAAGCAGGGGTGCTTCTAAGAAGCCCTCCCCCCTCCTGCCACCCCCGTCTGCGCGCTGACCCTTGTCGCCACGGCTGGACGCAGCTCGGACAACAGGTGCGTGTCGGCCCTGGGAGGCTCTGGGCCCAGGGGCCGACCTTGAACGCGACGCTGTGAGGGGATCTCGGCGGCAGGTCTCTGTCACGGCGAGCCTTTCTCACAGGCTCTTCCGCCGCCGGGGGCCCGCTCGTGGGCCCCCCAATCGGGGATGGACAGAACCCCCTTTAGCAAAACGTGGTTTAGTGAAAACGACCTCGGGCCCAAACCCGGCGGGCGCAAGCCTGGAAAACAACGGCCACGGCGCCCTCTCGAGAGCCGAAAACGGACAATTCACTAATCGACGTGTCACTGTTGGGGGTTCTGTCCAGCCCCGACCCAAGGGCAACGACAAAAAGATCCGGGGCGAAGGCCTGTCCCCGGGGAGGCAATCGGGGCCCCTCGGGCCGCGGATGGAAGCAGACATCACGCCGGCGGGTGTCAAGTGTGGACGGGCCCAAACCGCCCATCGGAGGCCTGGAGATGGGCACCAACACCAACACAGGGGGTCGCCTCCACAGGGGGAAGACGATCCTGGATTTCGGTGTCGGTGGTAATACTTCGGTCGCCCTGGAACCCAGAAGATTACCACCATCACCGAGATCGGAATCTTCTTCCCTCGGTGGAGGCACACCGCCGGTGTTGGTGTTGGTGTCAACCTCTAGGCCTGCGACTCCAGCGTATTATTGAAGGGGTCACTCCGGACCGCTCTCCCCGCTTTCGGCCTCCGGGGGCCCTCGCCTGCGAGTCAAGCAATGACTCAAGATGACATACAGCCCTGGGGGAAGGGTCCCGGACATGCGACGTCCTGATTTGTTCACGACGGCGTCCCCAACGGTCCAGACCCATTCCCCGGGACTGGTTTCTCATCCCGAGTCGTCTTTTGGCGGTCCCGAGGCCCGGCGAGGGCCCCCCGAGGCCGAAATGGACCAAAGACCTCCCGTCCTGATTTTTTTTTTTTTACGACGCGATCGTGTCTGGGCTCGAGACTCCTGAGGGTATCCTACCGGTGCAGTCGACACCCTGCCACGAGAGCGCGAATCTAGGAGGTGCGCCCCTGCGCCGCGGCCCGAGGCCCCGCGGAGATGCTCCCAGCGAAGAGCATCCCAAGGCGGGACGCCCAGGCGCGAAGAGCACGAGGGCACCCCGGCAGAGCAGGGGCTGTTCGTGCCCCACGAGAGGAGCAACTCGAGCGCACGCATGTTCGTGCCAACTAGGTTTATGTCGGGCGTGTCCCCCCTACAGGGGGATTTTCGACGAAAAACAGAACATACCCCCCCAATACCCCAAAAGAGCAAAACATACTAACAAAACAAATCCCCAGACTATTTTTGGAGTATTTTTGGACTATTTTTGGGGTATTTTTCATTTTTCGTCGAAAGTCCCCCTGTAGGGGGACAGGCCCGACTTAAAACTAGGCTACCTCTGCAAAACTAAGCTGCTCGTGGCAACTGCACGGAAAAACTCGAGGCATCGGATGTCTGGGGGGTGCGGTCGGGCGCAGCCGAACCGACCCCTTCCGTGACGGCCCCCTCGCCCTCGAAGCTCCGCTCCGGCAACCTGCCCAAGTCTCGGAGTGAGGCGAGGGGGGCCGTCACAGCAGGGGCCGGCTCGGCAGGGAACGGCCGGGCCGCCCTGGATGCGCACCGAAGGGGCCTCGAGGGCCTCGAGGCCAAAACCCCGACGTCGTGATTTTCTCAACTTGCTGTCGTTCGCACGCCCATTTCCCGTGCATTTTTCGGTTTCGTGCGTTGATTTTTTTTTGCTCGATGGTCCCGGATGGTCCTCGATGGTTCTCGCCGAGGAAAAAGTGCACACGTCCGAGCGATGCCAAGTTCTGGACGGCCTGGGGCCCTGGCAAAAGGGGGGGCCGAGCACGGCCAGGAGCCTCCCGCCGAGGCCCCCGTCCACGACGTGAGGCCTGACGCTGCCACCCTCTGGCCCACAGGGGTGCCAGACAGGCGCGCCGTTCCCGACCTCCCCTCTCCTCGCGGTCTGCCTCCTCTCGGCGGTGGACAGACCTCTCTTTAGTGAACCTCCTTTTCGTGAGAACGGCCTGGGACCGAAACCGACGGAACTGAACCTGCACAAATGAGGGCCGCGACGCCCTCTCGCGAACCGAAAGCGGCAAATTCCTTACTCGACGTGTCAGGGCAGGATTAAGTCGGGCCTGTCCCCCTACATGGGGATTTTGGACGAAACATGCAACATTGGCAAACAAATGCTTTAAAATACTCAGAAATGGTCAAAAAATCGTCCCCAGACCATTGCTTGACTACTTCTGAATAGATTCCCCCTGTAGAGGGACAGGCCCGACTTAAGGGTAGGAGGTCTGTCCACCCCCGATCCTCTGCGGGCCTTTGCCCGCCCAGCTCCCGAAGCTGACCTCTGGTCCGGCGCGCCTCGCTCGGGTCGGGCGAAAGGGGCGATAGCAAATGGGGGGGTTTGAGAATCAGCTCACGTGGCTGATGCATGTTTCGAGGAATGGGCCCCGCAGTGGGGCCGAAACCAGCTGCACGCAGCACATTTCGTACCCCCCCCGTTCCCCATCCCCCCTTTCGTTCGGCCCGACTCGCTGCCACGGCCCGGGGCGGCTGCCCACCGCCTCCCATCGGGCCCGCTCCTCGGCCGGTCGTCGAAATGGCTCGCGCCCTCTCTGAATGGGGCACACAGAGGAAGAGACACAGACAACAGAACTCCCAGTCTTTCACCATATTTTCTGGGCTTTCGTCTTCCCCCCCCCCCACTTCCCATATTTTCCCATATTTTCGGGGGAATCGGCGATTAATTGTGTCTGTGCGTTCTTTCCCCTCCTGACTCTCTCCGCCTCCTCGCCGGTCTGAGCGCCGACTCACCTGTCCAGCCTCCTCCCGGGCCCCGTTCACACACCCCTCCCGCCGACCTGGCGCTTGGACCAGAACTGCTGCCTGCGATGCCACTCTGGGGGCGCTGTGGGGGCGTTTGCCCTCATGCGCATCTGCCGAAGACAACCAGGCCGTCTGCAGAACATGCTAAGCGGGGGATCACAGAAACGGATGCACATAGCAGGAGGAGGAGGAGGAGGAGGAGGAGGAGGAGGAAGAGGAGGAAGAGGAGGAGGAGGAGGAGGAGGAGGAGGAGGAGGAGGAGGAGGAATGCCCAGGACTCGATGCCGTCCCCGCCTGGCGGGCGGGAGGTGCGCCGGGCGACGCCAGCATCGGGCCGCTCGGGACAACCGCGTCGGCGGGCGTCGGCCGCGAGATCGGGATCGACGAGGGGACGGGGCCCTCGTCGCCCACCCGCCGCCGGGCGGGGCCCCCCACCCCTCGTCGTGCCTCCTGCTCTTCGTCCTGCTCCTCGCCCTCGCCCTCGCCCTGGCCGTCGTGCCCCGGGGGCCACGGCGGGGCGAACCGAGGGGATGGCTTCTCCCTCTTCCCTCTCATCATGCTCCTGCTGCTGCTGCTGCTCCTCCTCCTTCTCCTCCTCCTCCTCCTCTTCCTCCTCTTCCTCCTCTTCCTCGTCCTCGTCGTCCTCCTCCGCCCTCGCCCTTGTCCCCGTCCCGCACATGATAAGACGCCCTGGCACGTACACCCGACGTAAACAAATCACGTGAAATGCGACCCCATCGCCCCGATAAAATACGCACGATTATGAGCACAAGCATCGTCTTAGACAACGCCTTCCCGTGGGAGGGACGGGTGCGAGGTACGTCGGTCAATTTTGAGGGTGATTGAATCACAACTCTGCTCTTCCTCCTTCTCTCCTCTGGTTCGCCCTCCGTCCTCCTCAACCTCCTCTGGCCTCCTCCTCGTCCTCATCATCCATGTCCTCCCTCTCCCTTTCCGGTCTCTCGCTCCACCCACGCTTCTGCCCCAGACCTCAGACAGTGAAAACTCCACCTGCCCACATCCTGGCGCGACCGTGGAGAGCGCGTCTGGGCGCCCAGCCAGCCGACGCGAAGGCAGCGAAGACAGCCTCGGGGTTGTGCCACGGGATGCGCTCAGGCTCAGCGGACCTCGCGGGTCCCTCCCCCCTCTTTGCCTGCCCCTCTCGCCCTCGATCCTGGTACTCCTCCCTAACATGCGACGCCTGCACTTTTTGCAACGCGGGGCCCCTGGAAGCCCCGACCACTTTCCCAAGGCCGCTTCTTTGTCCCGAGTCGGTACTGTGACAGTCCAGGGGCCTGGCCAGGGCCTCTCGGAGGCCGAGCCTGGCCAAAAACCTCCCGCCGCGTTTCTTTGTCACGATGCCAGCATGCACGGTTTCCCCCGGGGCCGTAGGCGACCCGAGGAGGAGGAGGAGGAGGAGGAGGAGGAGGAGGAGGAGGAGGAGGAGCAGGAGGAGCAGGAGGAGGAGGAGGAGAAGGAAGATGGTGGAGGAGGAGGAGGAGGGGGAGGAAGAGGAGGAGGAGCAGGAGGAGGAGGAGGAGGAGAAGGAGGAGGACGGAAGATGGTGGAGGAGGAGGAGGAGGGCGAGGAAGAGGAGGAGGAAAAGGAGAAGGAGGAGGAAGGAAGATCAAGGAGGAGGAGGAGGAGGAAGATGGCGGAGGAGGAGGAGGAGCAGGAGGAGGAAGGAAGATGGTGGAGGAGGAGGAGGAGGAGGAGGAGGAGGAGGAGGAGGAGGAGGAAGAGAAGGAAGAGGAGGAGGAGGAGGAGAAGGAGGAGGAAGGAAGATGGTGGAGGAGGAGGAGGTGGCCAAAAACCTCCCGCCGCGTTCCCGTGCCACGACGCCGCCGGGCCTGGGTGCCCCCTCCCCACCGTGGGGCTGGCCGGCGCTCCACGCCGGCCGGGGCGGATGGGCCCCCCGATTGCATCCCGCCTGCGCTCCGCCAAGTGCGAAGCGTAGTGGTCCTCCTCCTCCTCCTCCTCCTCCTCCTCCTCCTCCTCCTCCTCCTCCTCCTCCTCCTCCGCCTCCTCCTCCTCCTCCTCCTTCCTCCTCCTCCTCCTCCCTCCTCCTCCTCCTCCTCCTCCTCTCCTCGTCCTCCTCCTCCTCGTCCTCTCCTCCTCCTCCTCCTCCTCCTCCTCATCCTCCTCCTCCTCCTCGATCCCTCCTCCTCCCTCTCCTCCTCCTCCTCCGCCTCCTCCTCCTCCTCCTCCTCCTCCTCCTCCTCCTCCTCCTCCTCCTCCTCCTCCTCCTCCTCCTCCTCCTCCTCCTCCTCCTCCTCCTCCTCCCTCCTCCTCCTCCCTGGGCCGGGCCCTCGGCCGGCAAGAACCGCGGGCGTCCGCGAGGCCGGGCCCGAAAGTTCGCCGGCGGCGCGATTCTAGATGGGGCCCGAGTAGATCGGGGGCGGCCAAGAGGGGGGCGTCCAGGAGGGGGGGGGGCGCAAAAAATGGCTGGCGGCAGGAGCGCGGCTCAGGGGGGGGCCGGGGACGTATTGAAACGAGACGAGGCGCCATGAAATCTGGGGAGAGATCACGGCCCTCGCCATGATATCCACCCTCCCCTAGTCATCACCCCCCTCTTGGCCGCCCCCGAGTAGATGCAGTCGGAGGATCGCGCCGCATCGCCGATGCATCGGCGGTGCGCTGGCGGCGTCGGCGATGCCATCGGCGATGCATCGGCGTGGAGACAGTCGAGCCCCACATCCAGCCGCACCGCCGAGGCATCGGCGATGCGGCGCGGTCCTCCGACCCCATCTGCTCCGACCCCATCTGGGAGGCCTAAAGAGTGGCAGCCCCTCGATCTGGAGACCGCGGCCGTGTGGGGCAATCCCGCCCGATCGGCAGATGCCACGCCGGACGTGGCGGCCATCTCTGGAAGCGGCCCGGGGGTCCAGTCGGTCCACGGAGCCCCCCCCCCTGGGGTGGAAGCGGACGCATCTCGTGAGCCGCGTCCAGCCGCCGCGGCGCGGGGCGCTCCACGGGCGACGGCGGCAGACGGGCACCTCAGCCCTCGAGCCAGCTCGAGCCCCAGACATCCTTTCTTCGCTGCGCGGCCCCCAAGAGTCCCGACCCTTTCTCCCCCGGGCTGGTCTTGCGCCCCGAGCAGTTCTCTGCGTCGGCCCTGGGGGCCCGGCGAGGGCCCCCCGAGGCCGCACACGGCCAGAACCCCCTCTCCCGCGTTTTTGTTCCATGCTGTTCCTAGGGGGCCACATGCGAACCCTGCCCCTACCCCCCACGATCTCTGAGTGGGAGTGTGGGGTTCTCTTTGTTCGGGAGCTCCCGAGCGAAGTGAACCCCACCCTCCCCCTCAGAAATCGTGGGGGGTAGGGGTAGGGTTCGCATGTGGCCCCCTAGTTCCAAATCTATGTTACAGATAGAAAAGCAATCGAAAACGGCGCGAGCAGGTTGGGGGACCCCTGCCGAGAAGGGGGGGAAACCGACGCTTGGGTCCGGCATGTCCCCCTCCAGGCGCATCCCGGACGAAGAATGACAGATACACTCCAGAAAAAACACAATGAAACATACTCCAGAAAAAAAACAAAACAATAACTCGCTCCCTGCCCATCTTTGGTGACTTTTGTTGAAATTCTCCTCCTGTGTAGAGGGACAGGCCCGACTCAAAGGCAAGGGTTGGAGGCGGCGGCGGACCGCGGCGCGGGCAGGTGCAGCTCGTCGCCGGCGGCGTCGCTGCCCGGCCGCCCCTGCCGCCCCACGGGGGCGGCGGGCGGCTCGCTGGCCGCGCGGGAGGCCGCGTCCTCTGCAGAGGCCTCCCCAAGGCTGGCCCGGGCAGCTGGCCCATGACCCCCTCGCGCGGCGAACAAAGATGCGACGGAAGGCGCTTCTCCGCATTTTCGGCCTCCGGGGGCCCTCGCCGGGCCGCGGGACACCGTCGAGAGACGACGCGGGATGGAGCACCGTATTTTCGGCCTCCGGGGGCCCTCGCCGGGCCGCGGGATACCGTCAAGAGACGACGCGGGATGGAGCACTGGTCCCCGGGGAAGGGGTCCAGACCTCTGGGGGTCGACGCAAGGGAAAAAGCATCACGTCGGGGGCCTGGGGGGGTCCGGACGATCGCCAAGCTCGTCGATGCATCGGCGAGGTATCGACGTATACGTCGGCGATGCACCAGCGCCGTTGGCGTGGAGAGAATCAGGCTCCACATAGAGCCGCATCGCCGATGCATCAGCAATGCGGCGTGATCCTCTGGCCCCTTCTACTCTGACTCCCGAGACGTGCGATGACAGCCATGGTGTTTTCAATGCGAGGCCCCCCGGAAGTCCCGGCCCTTTCTCCAGGGCCGGCTTTCCATCCCAGGCTGTGTTTTTACGACCCCGAGGCCTGGGGGGGGGCCCGGGAGTCCGAAACTGGTAAAAAACCTGCCGTCGCGTTTTTTTCGCGACGCGAGCATTTCAGGGTCTGCTTGCTCAAGCAGTCGCCCTCGTTCGGATGTCCATGCCCCGTACATGTTTCGGTTTCGTGCGTGTTTTTCTTGGCAAGATGATCCAAAAATGCTCCTTGAGGGTCCCCGCCAGGGACAAACTGCACACGTTCGAGCGATGCCGAGAACACCGATCCCCGGACATGTGTCCGGGACCAGACCCCATCTGCTCGGGGCTCGGGGCCCCTCTGGGGAGGCATGGGATCCTCCATGCGCCGCAGCGTCGCGCGCAGCTCCGCGCACTCCTGGCGGAACTCGTCGGCCTGCGCGGCGGTGGCCCCCCCTCCCCCAAGATATGCTGACGCAAGGAAAACGACGACGTGTTGTTGTCGTCGTCGTCGTCGTCGTCGTCGTCGTCGTCGTCGTTGTTGTTGTTGTTGAGGTTGCTGCTGTTGTTGTCGTTCCTGTCGTTGTCGTTGTCGTTGCTGTCGCTGCTGTTGTTGCTGTCGTTGCCGTTGCCGTTGCCGTTGCTGTTGTTGTTGTTGTTGTTGTTGTTGTTGTTGTTGTTGTTGTTGTTGTTGTCGTGAAATTCTCATATCTGAAGAATCATTATGATTGGCCCCCTGCTGGGTAAACATGAGTTTTTCCATACAAATGCTACTCCTGGGGCCCGCGCCCTGCTTCTAAAAGGGGAGAGCTGGGTGTCACCAAACTACGCCCCTGGCCCCCAGTTTACAACAAAAGCGGTTCCCGCCTGATACTCCTCACACTTGATTCCCAAATCGCGCTCTCGCGCGGGACTTCCTCACACTTTATGCAAGAATCGCGCTCTCGCGTGGCACTTCTTTTACATGTGCTCGAACGCCGCGCCTTCGACACTCGAAAATCACGCTCTCGCTTCGGCCTGTCCCACGATTTCCTTGGCAATCGCGCTATCGCTCGAGACTTCCTCGCGACTCATGCACGACTCACGTTTCAGCAACCTGCCTGCTCGACCTGGCCGCCTGGGCTCGCCTTCCCGACCTGCCCGCTGGGGTCTGCCCGCCCGGTCTGCTCGTCTGGTTCTGCCACGTGTTTCTGCTCTTAGCCCCCTCCTGCAACTTTCTGTCGTGCTCCATCCTTCTACCTCGCCCTTCCATCCGCCCTTTCTTCCGCTGTTTTAGGGGCTGCGCAAAACGCACGTGGCAGGTAAAGAAGATATGCCCCCAAGGGGGGTATGGTCGAAAACGAAGACGGCGGGTACCAAGGGTTTAGGACATACGTGGTGAGTGGCACGCGAGCAGATATGAGCGAACAGTCTTAGCATGATTGTTGTTGCTCTTATAAGGGGGAACTTGGTGCCACCAACCTGCATTATTGGGCCCCGAACAACGCCACCACCACCACCACCACCACCACCCCCACCACCAACAACAACAACAACAACAACGACGACACCGACAACGACCTCGACAACAACGACAACAACACAAACAGCAACAACAACACCACCACCATCAACACCAACATTGACGACAACAACAACGACAACAACAACATAACAACATCAACAGCAACAACAACAACAGCAACAGCAACATCAACAACAACAACAACAACAACGGTTCCAACCTGATACTTCTTCGCAAGATATTCCAACATCGCGCTGTCGCGCCGGACTTCCTCACACTTTATGCAGAAATCGGGCTATCGCGCGGGACTTTTTAACTTTGTTTGTTTAGACGCCGCGTCCTCGACACTCAGGAATCACGCTCTCGCTTTGGCCTGTCTCACGATTTCCTTGGGAATCGCGCTATCGGTCGATCTCCTCACGGTTCATGCAGTACTCACGCCCGCTGGTCCAGTCTGGTTCTGCCAAGTGTTTTTTTCTTCGACCCCCCTGCTGCGAATCCCGTGCTCAATTCCGTTCCCTCCCCCTTCCATCCGTCCTCTTCTCCCCTGTTTCAGGGGCTGCGCCAAGTACGCGCGGCAGGTAATATATACCTCCACAGGGGGTACGGTCGAAGACGAAGACCGCGGGTACCGACGGCTTGGGATGTACGTTTTGAAACAGGTACGCTAGCAGGCAACACCGAAAAATATCACGATGGTTGTTTTGCTGCTGTTGTTTTTGTTGCTGCTGTTGCTGTTGTTGGTTTTGTTGTTGGTGTTGTTGTTGTTCTTCTGGCTGTTATTGTGATCGTTGGTGAACTCCCACTACTGAAGAATAGTTATTGTTGATCACCCCCTCCGGTGACCATTTTTCAATTGAAGTGCTTCCCCCGGGGCTCGCACCCTGCTTTATACTAGGGTACAGTCACTAAGCTCAAAGTGTGCCCCTGGCCCCCGGCTTACAACAACAACAATAACAAGAACAAGAACAAGAACAAGAACAACAACAACAACAACAACAACGGCTCCCGCCTCATACTTCCACACCAATTATTCCCAATTCGTGCTCTCGCGCGGCACTTCATCACAACTGGTATACGAATCGCGACCTCGCGTGGGACTTCCTCGCGATTTATTCAGACGATGCGCCCTCGTCGCTCAGGAATTACGCTCTCGCTTTGGCCTTTTCTCAAGATCTAAATCGCGCTAGCGATTCATGCAAGACTTACGCTTCAACAACCCGCCTGTTCGACCTGGTCGGTTGTGCCCGCCTTCCCGGCCTGCCCGCTATAGGTCTGCCCACCCGATCTGTCCGTCTGGTTCTACCACTTGATTTCTGTTCCTTGCCCCCCTCCTGCGAATTTCTCTCGTGCTCCATTCTTATCCCTCCCCCTTCCACCCGTCTTCTCTTCCGTTGTTTTAGGGGCTGCGCTAAATGAGCGTGGCAGGTAATGAAGATATACCCCCAAAGGGGTAAGATCGAAGACGACGAAGGCGGGTACCTGTATGATCTATACGTATTGGTTGGTACGTGAGCAGATAGGAGCGAACAGTCTTAACCTGATTTTGTTGGTGTTGGCGTTGTTGTTGAACGTTCATGTCAACAGATCAATTATTTTTGATCCCCCCTCCGGTAATCATTGTTTTTGCAATCGTTGTTTTTTTACAAGCGGACGTGTGGTGTCACCAAATTGCGCGTTTGGCCCAAGGACTGCAACAACAACGGTTCCCGCATGATACGTCCTCACAATGTATTCCAGCATCGCGCTCTCGCGCGGGTGTACCTCACAATTTATTCAGGAATCGCGCTCTCGCGTGGGACTTCGTCGCCGCTCATTTGACGCCGCGCCCCCGACACGCAGAATCACACTCTCGCTGTGTCTTCCTCACGAAACACATAGGAATCGCGCTATCGCTCGAGACGTCCTCGCGATTCATGCGGGACTCACGCTTCACCAACCCGCCTGTTCGACCTGGCCGCCCGGGCCCGCCTTCCCGATCCGCCCGCTAGGGTCTGGCCGCCCGATCTGCCCGTCTGGTTGTACCACGTGCGTTTTGTATGTGGCAGGTGATGAAGATATACTTCCAAAGTGGTACGATCGAAAACGGAGAGGGCGGGTACCGAGGGTTCGGGATATACGCGTTGAAAGGCACGCAAACAGATAAAAGCGAACAGTATTAACATGTTTGTTGGATGTTCGTTTTTCTTTTAAAAGGTTGATCCCCTTGCCCGGTAACCGTTGCATCTTTCAGGTGCACTGTTTCTCCCAGGGCTCGCGCCCTATTTTTTGAGGGAAAGCGAAGGGTCACCAAACTGCGGTGTTGGTTTTCGAACTACAACAACAGCAGCTCACGCCTGATACTTCCTCACGATGCATTCAGAGATCGCGCTCTCGCGCGGGATCCTTCACAATGTATGCAGGAGTCGCGCTGTCGCGTGCCCTCGACACTCAGGAGTCACGCTCTCGCTCTGGCTTTTCTCAGGCTTCACTTGGGAACCACACCATCGATAAAGACTTCCCCACGATACATGCAAGATTCACGCTTCCGCACCCCGCCTGGTCGTCCTGGCCGCCCGGGCCCGCTTTCCGACCCGCCTGGTACGGTCTGCCTGCCCGATCTGCCCGTCTGCTTCTACCACGTGTTTTCTGCTCCGAACCCCCTCTCCTGCTACTTTCCCGTGTGCTCCATTCTTTTTGTTCCCCTTTTTCATCCGTCCCCCTTTCCCTGTTTAGAGGCCGCACTAAGTGCACGTGGCAGGTAAAAGGAGATGAATCCCCATGGTATTACGGTCGAAGACGAGGAGGGCGGGTACCGAGGGTTTGGGATATGTGTGTTGATTGGCACGCGAGCAAATAAGAGCTGATTGATGATGTTGTTGTTGTCGTCGCCATTTTTCTCATGTTGAAGATCTATTGTTGATCCCCCCCCTCGGGGGCATCTGGTGCTTGTCAAGGACAGTGCCACCCCCATGGCTCGCACTCTGTTTGTACAAAAGGAAAAAGGAAGTGCCACCAAACTGCAACAACAACAACAACCTGGCCCCCGAAGTACAACAACAACGGCTCCCGCCGGATACTTCCACACAGTTTATTTCCAACTTGTGCTCTCGCGCGGGGCTCCCTCGCAATGTATTCAGACGCAGCGCCCTCGACACTCAGGAATCACGCTCTCGCTGTGGATTCCCTTCGACTATTTAAAACCACACCTTCGCTTTAGCCTTTCCCACTGCTGACTTGTGAATCGCGCTATCCCTTGAGCTCTCCTCGCTGTTCAATCAATACTCACTCTTCTAGAACACGCCTTCTCGACCTGGCCGCTTGGGCCCGCCTTCTCGCCCCGCCCGTTACGGTCTACCCGCCCGATGGGCCCGCCGGGTTCTACCACGTGTTTTCTGCTCCTAGCCCCCCTCCTGCTAATCGCGTGTTCCATCCTTCTCCCTCCCCCTTCCATCCGTCCTCTCCTCTCTTCTCTCCGGGGCTGCTCCAATTACACACGGAGGGTGCAAATATATCCCCCCAGAAAGGGGGGCACGGTCGAAGCCGAAAAGGGCGGGTACCGAAGGTTTGGGAGATACAGGTTGAATGGCACGCGACCAGATCAGAGCGAAAAACTGATTGTTATTGAACCCTCATTTCTGAAGAAGAAGAAGAAGTTTTATGGTTGATCCCCCATCACCGGTGCATGCAGTTTCTGCTCAATCAAAGTGTGCCCCTCGACGCTCGCACCCTAGTTTTTGACAGGGAACGTTTTGGTGCTCAAACTGTGCCCCTGGCCCCCCCGAGTGCAACAACAACGGCTCCCGCCTGAGACCTCCTCCAAATTTACTCAGGAACCCCCGCTCCCGCTTGAGACTTCCTCACAATTTATTCAGGATCGGTGCTCCCGCTTGCGGCTTCCTCGCAATTTAATCAAGACCCCGCTCCCATCTGAGGCTCCCTCACAATCTAATCAAGAACGGCGCTCCCGCTTGAGACTTCTTTGCAATTGATTCAAGACTTCTTCGTAATTTAATCAAGACCCCCGCTCCCGTCAGAGAACCCTTCACATTTGATTGAGGAATTGCGCTCTCGCCTGTGAATTCCATGCAATGTATTCAGACATCGCGCTTTCGACGCTCAGGAAACACTCTGCGCCAAGGACGCCGTCACAATTTACTTAGGAATCGCGCTCTCGCCATCGCTTGACTGTCCCACCCGCCCGGCCCGCCCGTGAGGGGATCGACCGCCCATCGTGGGCTCCCGCCCGAGACTTCCTTCAGGAACGGCCGGCTCTTTCGCCTAGGACTTCCTCGAACGTTCACGCCCTTACCTTCCTGCTCCTCCTCCCTCTCCCTCCTCCCTCCTCCCTCCTCTCCTCCCTTCTTTCTCCCTCCTCTCTTCCCTCATCCTTATGCCTCTCTGTCCTATCCCCTCTCCCTCCTCTCCCTCCTCCATTCTCCCTCCCCTCTCCTGCCTCCTTCCTCCCTTTTTTTTTGTTTCTCTCTCTCTCTCTCCCACCCCTCTCTCTATTTCTTACTCTCTCTATATACATACATACGTACATGCATATATATATATATATATATTCTCATTCTCTCTGCCTCTAATCAGCCGCCCCCCTCTTCGCTCCTTCTCTCTTGGCGTTTTCCCTTTTTCCTCGTCACTCCCCCTCCCTTCCTCCCACTCTCCCTCGTTTTCCCCCTCTTTTGCAGGGCACATACCAATTCCAATGGCGGGCACATGTGTGCCCACGAAGGATGGTCCGCCCGTTCAGGTTTGCCCGCCTTTCTAAGCCCACGCCCCCCGCAAAGAGAAATAATCCACCCAAAGTGGGTGTGATCGAAGACAAAAAGGGCGGGTGTCGAGGGTGTGGGGAACTTGTTTTGAATGATTCACGGGCAAGTAAGAGCGACCAGTGTTAGAATGATTGTTGTTGTTATTGTTCTTGTTGTTTTTGTTGTTCATTCTTAATTTCTAGAAATACCGTTGATCACCCCAGCCCGGTAACCATTGTATGGTTCAATTGGTTAAAATGTTTCTCCCAAGGCTCACACCGTGTTTTTGTTCAGGAATGGGCTGTCACCAAACTGTGCTCTGGTCCCCGGTTTACAACAGCAGCGATTCCCGTTTGATACTTCCTCGCACTTGGTTCCCAGATCGCGCTCTCGCGGGGGACTTCCTCGCAATGTATTTAGAGATCGCGCTCTCGCGTTGTATTTCCCCACCATTTATTCAGGCGCCGCGCCCTCGACACAGGAATCACGCTCTCGCTTTGTTTTTTTTCTCACGATTCACTTGTGAGTGGCGCTATCGCTGGAGACATCCTCGCGATCCATGCAGGACGCACGTTTCAGCAAGCCGCCTGCCCCTCGTCCCTACTTCCATCCGTCCTCTCTTGCAGGTGCAAAAGATACACCCCGATGGAGGCACAGTCGAAGACGAAATGGGCGGGCATCGAGGGTTTAGGATATACGTGTTGAATGGCACGTGGGCCGATAAGGGAACAGAGTATTAACATGATTGTTGCTGGTGTTGCTGGTGTTGTTGTTGTTGGTGTTGTTGTTGTTGTTGAAGTTGTTGTTGTTGCTGTCGACGTTGTTGTTGTAACTGTTGTTGTTGCCGTTGCTGATGTTGCTGTTGCTGGTGCTGCCATTGTTGTTGGTACTGTTGTTGTTGTTGTTGCTGGTATTGTTTTTGTTGTTGCTGAAAATGTTACTGCTGTTGCTCATTTCTCATTTATGAGAACGAATTCTTGTTGATCCCCCCAGCCCGGCAACCATTGTATGTTTAAAACAAAATGCTTCTTCTCTCGGGGCTCGCACCCTGTTTTTCTACAAGAGAAAGTGGGGTGTTAACAAACTGTGCCCCTGGCCCCCGGTTTACAACAGCAGCGACTCCCGTCTGATACTTCCTCGCACTTGGTTCCCAGATCGCGCTCTCGCGGGGGACTTCATCACAATCTATACAGGAATCGCGCGCTCGTGTGGGACTTCCTCGCACTTTATTCCGACGCAGCGTCCTCGACACTCAGGGATCACGCTCTCGCTGAGGATTTCCTCAAATCTCTTCAGGAATCGCGCTATTGCTCGAGACTTCCTCGCAACTCATACAGAACGCACGCTTCAGCAACCCGCCTGCTCGACATGGTCGCCTGGGCCCGCCTTCCCGACCCGCCGGGCAGGGCCTACCCGCCCGATCTGCCCTACGTGACGCCAATACGAGGAGGAGGAGGAGGAGGAGGAGGAGGAGGAGGAGGAGGAGAAGGAGGAAGACTGAGAGGAGGCCAGGAGTACGGGGAGGCCGGGGAGGGGCAGCATTCGTGAAGCAAGCCCTCGATGCCACTGCCTGCCCGCGCCGCCCACTACACCTGCACGCGGGACGCAGCAGAACGCAGCGCCATGCAAGTCGACAGCGAGGACCACCGCCCGCTGTCCAGGTGGGGAGGGTGGGGAGGCAGGTCGGCGGCGCGCAAAGGGGGGCATGGGGGAGGGGGGATGGCCTCTTAGAAACATCCCTGCTTCTTAGAAGGCGCGGGCCTTATCTTCAGATGTAAGGCCACGCGCCTTCTACGAAGCAGCCTCCTTCGAAGAAGCCTTCCCCCCTCCCCCTACCCACTTCTGCGCGCCGCCAAGAGGCAGGGGAGGCGGAATATCGGGGGAGCGCGTCGCGAGCGGAAAGGAACGCCCAAGGACTAGAGACCTCCCACGTGGGGTCGGAGCAGATGGGGTGCAGCGAAGGCATCATGGGGCGCAGCGGCGTCCGAGTCCCGCTCGTGTTTCCTCGGTCGTCCCCCCTTTTCCTTTTCGCGAGGCCGAAGTCATACATCTGACCGCCGGTGGCTCGCAGCTTTGGTCAAGGCCCTCACTGCTTCTACTGCTTGCTCCAGCGCGATGGCCTCCGCAGTAAAGGAAGAAAGAAGAAGGAGGAGGAGGCGGAGGAGGAGGAGGGAGGAGGAAGGAGGAGGATGAGCAGGAGGAGGAGAACTGGTATCAATAATACACGTGCCTGCGAGTAGCCATCGGCTTCGTTACTTCGCACCCGCCTCTGCGAGCACCGGCCTCCACGCACCCCGCTGCAGCCGAGCACCTCCCTCTGTCTGTCGCCCCTCCCGCCCGCCCCCCTCGCCTCGCCTCTCGTCCTTGCCCGTCGTGCCTCCGTCTCTCATCTCGCGCGCCCCCTCGTCGGCTTTCGATGCCTGGCCATAGCTGCACCAGCAGCACAGGTCATTCATGTGTAAGTCGCGTACCTGTTTCACTCCGCGTCCGGTATCGGACTGGGTTCCGTGCTCGTGCGGGACCTTGCCCTGCCTTGAAGATCCCGCCGCATCGTCGATGCATTACCGATGCATCGGCGACGTCGGCGATGCATCGGCGACGTCCATGTGGAGAAGATCGGGCTCTACCGAGCCACATCGCCGATGCGGCGTGATCCTCCGACCCCATCTACTTGGCGGCGCGCCCAAGGGGGTAGGGGGAGGGGAAAAGGGCTTCTTAGAAGCATTCTCTACTTCTCAGAAGGGCCCGGCCTTACATCTAAACAGAGGGCCCGCGCCTTCCCAGAAGCAGGGGTCCTTCTAAGAAGCCTTCCCCCCTCCCCCTTCCCCCCTCTGCGCGCGGCTGATCTACTCTGACTCCCCAGACATGCGATGCCTTGTTCTGTTTCAACACGGGGTCCTCGGACATCCCGACCCCTTCCCCAAGGTCTGGCTTCCGTCCCGGGCCGTTGCCTTACGGTTCTGGGGCCCTGCGAGGGCACCTGGAGGCCGACACCGGTCAAGAACCTGCCGTCGCGATATTTTTTTCGTGACGCGAGCATGTCAGGATCTGGGGCTCAGAAGCCGATCCCCGGACCTGTTCTGGGGAGGGCTCTGGCCAGAATTTCGAGGTGGATCCAGCCGTGGCGACGAGGGCCTCCCAGGTCCCCGGGCCCCCAAAGCGAAACCGAGGCAAGCGTGTGGCGGTATCGGTACTGCACCTCTTCCTCCCTCGAAGTATGCTGGCAGCAGCGGGGCTGGCTGTGCTCCGCCAGCTCGCTGCACAAGTGTGGGCATCGTTTAACCGACCCCTATCCCCATGAACGTGGCCTGGGCCCCAATGGCCGATTGACGCCCCAGCTGGGGATATAGGCCGTTCCCTTCGGGCTTCGTGTCCCCAACTGGGGTGCAAGGATGCTGGGGGTCTGGATGGGGATGGGGATGGGGATGGGGATATGGGGATGGGGCTGCTGGGGGTCTAGATGGGGATGCTGGGGGTCTGGATGGGGATGCTGGGGGTCTGGATGGGGATGCTGGGATGCTGGGGGTCTGGGGGGGGTGCAAGGATGCTGGGGGTCTGGATGGGGATGCCGGGGGTCTGGATGGGGATGGGGCTGGGGAGGGGATCGGCTTCACGCTGCCGAAAGTGCGCGGCGCCTCCCGCCGCCTGGCCCGTGCCCGCCGCTCGTGGGGGCCAGGCCACAAGAAACCCTCAACAGCAAAACCCAACCCTGAGACCCCAAGGCGCCCGTGGACTCCTGGTGCGGAAGCGTCGCGCTTCCCCGGCAGAGCCACCGAAGCCGAGGAAAGCTCGGGGGCGCGCTGGAGGCAAGCAGGGCGCTCCTTGGCATGGGCCTCCTCTGTGGCCCATGGGGGAGCCGTGCGCGCGTGCCGGGGCGCCCATGGCCCGTGCCTTCGGCGGGGCGCCTGGGCTGCTCGCCCCCACCGTCGCCTCCGGCAGCGCAGCCCGGCAGAAGAGCGCGCTGCGGGGGGCGATGATGATGATGATGATGATGATGATGATGATGATGATGATGATGATGATGATGATGATGATGATGATGATGATCATGAGGATGAGGAGGAGGAGGAGGAGGAGGAGGAGGAGCGGGCACGGCCTCCGTGCGCCAGCCCCAGGCCTCGGCGGCCGCGCGCTCCTGCATCCGCGACACCTCCGCGCGCAGCTCCTGCGGCGGGGCGCGCGGCCGCGGGCGCCCTCCGGCGCGCCGCAAAGAGCCGAGGCGAGCTGGTCTCTGGCCCTGCCTCGGGCCGTGGGGCCCTCACGGATCGGTCCGGCCCGAAGAAGTAGGAGGCAGAGGCCGTGCACGCCAGAGGTGCGTCGGCTGCGCGCGGTGGAGCGGCGATGGTGGGGTGAAGCTACGGGCGAGCAAAGCGGCACGGGAGGAGGCAGAGGCGGAGGAGGAGGAGGAGGAGGAGGAGGCGGAGGAGGAGGAGGAGGAGGTGCAACTCCTAACGAGAGCGGGGGCAGCTGTCTCTTTCTGGCAGCTCCTGGCAACTCGCGTTCCCACTTGTCACAGAAAGCGCTGCTTTTGGATGTAGCGCCTCGTCAAAGCATGCAAATGCAAGTTTGGTCATATGATAGCAGCACCTACTGTGAAATGATGTCTGACTGGAAGATCGGGGCCAGTTGTCTCTTGCAAGCAGCTCCTGGCAACTCGCGCTGCCCACTTGCCACAACGAAACGCTGCATTCAGATGCAACGCCTCGTCGAAAGCATGCAACAAAACCTTTTGTACCACAAGCACCAAGTGCGGCATGACATATTGATGAAAAGCGAGGCCAGCTGTCTCTTTCAGGCAACTCCTGGCCACTCGCGCTCATCACCTGTTACATGACGTATTGGGTCGAAGCGCGCCCACGCAACACAACATACACGTGGTCAAACTGTTATCGTGCTAATGCGGGCGGCACCGTACTCGCACGTGGGGAAAAGCCTACCAGATATTACCAACAACCAAACACCAACGAGTAACGTTCTTGAAGACATTCGCCAGTCGTGCCCACGACGCGATGGAGAAAATCCCAGCGAGCGGGACCAGCGAGGACTAGGAGGCTGCCAGGCAAGATTTGGACTTTTGCGATCGGCTCCAGTGTGGCAGTCTCGTCCGTGAAATTAGGAGGCGGATGAGCGAACTCCAGGATAGCAGGTGAACACAAGGCCAGAATAATTGTTGCAGCGCCGTTCGCTTCCAAATCACAATGCCACGGAAAACCAGGCCGTGTGTTTTTCTCTGGCTGCACAGAATACTCATTGAAAGTCATTCGCCACCGCACTAAAGCAGTTGGTGACAAGCCTCTTTTCGCTCGTGATGTCGATAGCTCCGTCTGAACAATCGGTATTGATGCCAGCCTCAATAGCCAATCCTCGCCCAACCCAAGTAAAGGTATATTTTCGTTACCACGGAAATATGTCAACTGATGTCCATCACCATACTGCGAGAAGTGCTCTCCACGCAAATTGCACGAATATGTGTTTGACTGGTTTCCCTCCGTCGAAAATGAGGTTCCAGGGCCACCCGGAAGAGCAACGCGAATGAAATGTTCATCCCCACTGAGATAAGCGAGATTGTGTGCAGGCGAGCGAATGGCGGGACGATTGGAGGCAGCCGCAGAAGCCCGGATTTCTGTGGCAAAAGATCGCACCTTCGCGAGCACTTCTCGGCACCCTGCATCATCCAGAACATGTGGGTAAAGTAACAAGCCCGGTACAGCAGGATAGGTCTTCTCCTCTGGAAATCCGATAGAATTCAAACACCTGGCAGGGGAACGCAAATTGAGGGCAACACCGGCATGGCAGCGGCGAGGAAATCGAGCCACATTGATCATGTGTTTTTCAGAACTAGCTCGAGCACGCACCAACTGAGCCGAAATTGCTTAAGCCGAAATGGCTGCTGCGGAGGAGGAGGAGGAAGAGAAAGATGAATTAGCTTGGCGAATGACCCAACCATCTGCAGTTGTGAATACCGTAATTGCGAGTACCGTCGGTGGAGCTCCTTGGGGGGGTGCACGAAACGTGTGAGTGGTTCTGCCGCAATTCTGTGGAGAAGGCACGCGGGCCCTGGTTATGGGGCCGTAGGTGGAGGTTCCTATGGGGTCACGAAACCTGTGAGGGGTGCGCCGGAATTACGTGGAGGCGGCATGTGGGCCCTGGCACTGAAGCTTCGGGAGGTTCTCGTGGGAATATGAAGCGTGTGAGGGGTGCGCCAAAATTGTGTGGAGAAGGCATGCGGGCCCTGTCAATGGGGCCTCAGATGGAGCTCCCTGTGGGGCCACGAAACGTGTGAGGGGTGCATGCGCAATGATGTGGAGGAGGCATGCAGGCCCTGGCACTGAAGCTTCGGGAGATTCTCGTGGGGCCACGAAACGTTTGAGAGGTGCGCCGAAATGGTGTGGACCAGGCATGCTGGCCCTGGCACTGGGCCTTACATGGAGCTTCCCATGGGTACACGAGGCGTGTGAGGGGGCCTGGCCCCGCAATGCGGGCCCTGGCAGTGGGGCTTCGGCGGAGCTCCCTGTGGGGCGGGGCCACGACACGTGTGAGAGCTGCGCCGACATGGCGTCGACCAGGCATGCGGGCCCAGCCATTCGGGCCTTCGGTGCAGCTCCCTATGAGACCACGAAGAGTATGAGGGGTATGCCGAAATTGCGGAGGGCAAAGGCAGGGATGCGAGGAGGGAGGAGGAGAGGACAGGACGCAGGGCGCGGTCCCTTCAGAACGAGGACCCACCACCACAGGATGAATGGGACAAACATAGAAGCAACAACCGAGAAAGATGGGTCTAGGGCTCTGGCCGAGTTCTGCCACGATGCGGCTGCATGTTGTCTGCGACGTGCAGAAAAGCAGGTGGGCCACACGCGCCCTCGGGCTCCCGCGGGCGAGGGCGGCCTCTTCGACCAGCAAGGGTACATCAGTGGACGCACGCGCTGGGAAGTCCTGCTGCAGGAAGTGTTAGCCGGCGTGGGCCCCGAGCAATGAGTGATTGCACTGTGGATGTGTAGGATATTTTTTGGTCTGCGGCCGCGCGACAACGGTCTGGCGGCGAAGGGCAATGTCCGGGGCGGGCGGCACAAAGCGAATTGGGGACCCCAACCGCCAGATGTGTAGGATATGCGGTGCGAGCTGTGCGGTGTGAGCTGTGTGGTGCAGTGTGCGCGGTGCAAGCTGGAGGCGGCCACGAGGCAGCCCTGGGCGGCCACGTGGCGAAGTCTCGCCGGAGCCACCCAACGCACGAGGCGGCCGCGGGCGGCAACCTGGCGAAATCTCTCGCTGGACACGCCCAATTCCTTAGCAAGACAAGCGGGGGCCCCGAAGTGCAAGTACAATGTGTGGAATTTTGGGGCCCATCGTTCTGTCGACCTCGGACATCGCAGGATGCCCCGAGAACTCCAACGGATGTCCATCGAAGTCGGGGAATCAGAGACTGGGTAGGAAAAGAAACACGGCATGTACGTAAACTTTTGGCGCTCCGCGCGGATTTCTTGGATCTGCGCTGGACCTTTCCCTAGCGCGCGGAGCGCGTCAGGGTCGGCGCCGCTGGGGGGCCCAGCTCGGATCGAAGAGATCCGCGCGGAGCGCCAACAGTTATATTTATAGCGTTTTTTTTTTGTGGGGGGGGTTTTCGCTTAGAGACCATGAACGTCGGGGAAGCAGAGATTCACACGGGGTGCTTGCTGGCGGACCAATCTCGTATTTGGCGTGCCCACTGCGCCCAGGGATGTCGCAGTGGGCCGGAGCAGGCGTGCCAAGCTGCGGGTCGCCACTATGGGGGTCCCCACTTCCTCGAGGGAACGCCTCTTCCTCGAGCAAGTGGGCCCCCGAAGAACACTCTCCTCCACCTCCTCCTCCTCCTCCTCCTCCTCCTCCTCCTCCGTCTCCTCCGTCTCCTCCTCCTCCTCCTCCTCCTCCTCCTCCTCCTCCTCCTCCTCTATATCTTCTCCTGATAAATAATTTCTCCCTGTCGCACCCTAAGGCCAGTTTTCAAGGCGGGCCGGGCGTTTCGCCTGCGACTTCCTCACAATTTACGACCCTGACGCGTAAACGTTGACAACAATTTCACACATTGAGGGCGGGTAGTTTTCAAAACGTGGCTATCGCCTTAGCGCCGCGCACATTCGTTCTAAACATGTACAGGAATTTCACGGATTCAGGGCGACCCGCTTTGAAAATGTGGCTCCCGCCTCAACGCCGCGCATATTGGCATTTGAAAATTGTAAGAACTTCACGGATTGAGGGCGACCCGTTTTCAACATGTGGCTCTCGCCTCAGCGCCGCGCATTCTTTTATGCAACAATTTCACGGATTGAGGGCGGCTCATTTTCAAAATGTGGCTCTCGCCTCAACATTGCGCACATTCGTTTTTACATTTGCAAGGGTTTCACGGGTTCCCATGATCAGCGTACCAGGAATGGTGTTTTCCAAGAATTCAAGATTATGCTGATACAACAAATATGTTGATCTGCATTTTTGGCGTCCCCCAAACGGCGTTCTGGAACGATTCAAGATCGTCAACATGCAACAGTCAGGTTGATCCGCGGCGATGGATATCCCGATAACGATGTTTTGGCATGCTTCAGGGCCTTCAAACGGTTGTCTTCCAACGAGGCAGTTCCCTCAGTGGAAATGAACCTGGTTTCATGCCTGTGAAGAGGGAGCTTGGAGGGACGGTTTATTCCAACATCGTTGATGACTTTTGGGTTCACACTGGTCCTCCTCCTCCTCCTCTTCCTCTTCCTCCTGGTCCTCGTCCTCGTCTTCCTCCTCCTCCTCCTCCTCCTCCTCTTCCTCCTCCTCCTCCTCCTCCTCCTCTCTTCCACAACGAGCCCAAACGTCGAGACTTCCTCGAGCTTCGATCCTGGCACCGCGATTTCCAAGAGGAACTGATGACCCCCCAGTGCTGGCTCCCCTCAGCACTGCCCAACACACGCCTCGCGGCACCCCGCGGGCGAGGAGGAGGAGGAGGGGGAGAGGAGCAGCAGCAGAGCAACAACAAACAACAAGGAGGAGGCGTAAGCATGCTCGCGTCGAGACCACAATCACGACGGGATTCTTTTAGCGGTTTTCGGACCCCTGGGGGCCTTCGCAAAATCTCGACCGTAACTGCTGAACCGTTTCTCGGCCTCCAAAGGCCCTCGCCAGGCCCCGGGACCGTCAAAAAACGGCTCGGGA